AAAAAAATTAGAATAGGTAAAATGAAGATATAAAGCTCAACTAACAGTGTTTTAAACCATTTGTTGACTTGAAAGAGATAGCTGAGGTTGAGTGCACCGATAAATGTGTCCAGATAAATTTACGAAAAATGAAGAAATTAGGTCATGTTCTATCTCTTACAACGGACAAGTTGTAGAACAGCAGTAAGTTTTGATTTCATGTATAAATAGATTAATGAGTTATCTGTTAGTCCTGAACACGCTTTACCCCAAAGACCTGTGAAGATGAAGATATTGTCAAAAATAGAAGGGGGGTGTTCAAAGCATGTGGTTCGTAGCCCTGAGAAAAACGTTTAGTTTGTTACCATGGAAACAAAGAGGGTGAAAAAAGTGTATATCATTTTAATCCCCTATCTTTAGGTTATAACATATCACCAAACTAAATCATTAAGTGACACCTGTATAAACTGTAAGGCCAATCAATATAACCCTGTTTTTCAGATGAATTTTTGGTTGATTAACCCCCCAAATTGTGACTGCCCATATCTCTGTAGGTAGGGATTTTTTTCAGGAAATATTGCAGCCTCAGATATTGTTCATATAAAAGTTCAAACACACCAAATATGGTGTAAATCCGTTCACCCCCGCCTTGCCGCATTTTCTACATTTGGTCTGGTTTTCTCGTGGACACACACTTAATACAAAAATGTAATGTCATCATGAGGGTATTTTTTGTGATATTTCAGAATTCCACATTATGAACAAAGGTTAAAAGCATTGCATTATAAAAAGAAGTTTACAGAAAGGATGGTTGATGCTCGGCCAAAAGTAGAAGGTAGTTATATATTTTGTAGTGAAGGATAGATAGAATGTGTGTTAAAGGAGGGGCCAAACTATGGGGATTTCATTTTAATAGTATGATTTATTTTTTCCCTTATGTTTCTTATATGATAATAGAATACAATATTACTGAAATTTTTTTCTTCATTGAATTTTTTCTTCTTTTATTCCAGCTGTTTTACAAGCATCAAAAGAGATGATAAAAAGCCCACGTCTGCGGAAGTTTTTAGAGTTGGTCTTGGCTTATGGCAACTACATGAACCCAGGCCAGCGCGGCAATGCTTACGGCTTTAAACTTTCTAGTCTCAACAAAATCATTGACACAAAGTCCAGTATTAATAGGAATCTTACCCTGTTACACTACCTTTTAGAAGTTATAGAAAAAAGGGTAAGTTTTGAAAAGAGAAATTCTGGTTGAATTTCCCGAAATGTTTTTGAATAGTTGAAAGAATATGAAATCATCAGCTCTATGAATAATAATGATGTGGATTTCAGTAATTTTAACTCATTGAGATGTGTAATTGAAAAGGGTGAGAAGAATTTGAAAGTTTCCAAGATATACATGCATGTAATAACCATACATGTGTTCCACCTCAAAGATTTATCCCAGTTTAAATGGACATCACCAAGTCCTCATGGCTGTCCATGCAGCCCCCAGAGATTCATGAAAACAGCAGAGGCATGTTAATAATAGAGCCAATATCCAGCAACCTCTGAAAGCCAAAATGTCCATGGAGTGAATTTCCTGAAAATTTGTTATGCTTAGAAATGGTTCTTCACATGTGCAGTTTTAGCGAGATATAAGTTGATACAGACTGATACAAAACTGTTTTTTTCCTTGCAGTTCCCAGATTTACTGAGAATTCATGAGGACATCATTGATGTGCGTTTGGCAGCAAAAGTACAGTAAGTGAATTATATTGGATACTGTTTTTTTCTGATAAAAATGTTTGGATGAGAATATAATTTATTTACAAATAGTTTTATTAGATACTATGAAAATGGCTTAATAATAAGTTTACAGAATTCACAAACATTAATGAAAAGGATTGGTGCTCTTTCTGCAAAATTATAAGGTGATTTTTCATGATTCTTTTCCTTTTCGCTTTAGATTGTCTACATGAACATTAACAAAAATGTTAAAATTTAGCATGCTATATTGAGCATTATTGTTCTTTTTCTTGCAGTATGCCAGAACTGGAGAAAGATATACAGATTCTTAAAAGTGGACTTAGAGAAATTGAAAAGGTATGGGAAGATTGAATTGAAATGGAATTCAATTGAAATTATTTATTCCATAACAATCCATTAGCTAAAACTATTAGTTTTACATCAATGCATCAATCTTTGTTTCACAGAGTAAAACTGAGGTTTTTGTAAGATGACTTGTATGTTTTGAATAAACAACATTTGTGTAAGAAAAATTTTAAGAAAACCCAGCATACTTGGACCAATAAGTCTACAAATACTATTTTCCAATCCCAGGAAATAGAATTTCACAGGCACCGACAGCTAGAGCCAGATGACAAATTTGTCTCTGTTATGTCAGACTTTATCACGGTGGCAGCATACAATTATTCTGAGTTGGATGATCTAGTCAGTGAGATGAGGCAGAAGGTCAGTGAGGTGGCTTGGTTTTGTGGTATTGGTGGTTTTTTATCATAATGTTGCTTCAAAAAGTGTACGAAGGCTTAACCCCAATTTTGACACATTGCTGATAATTATCAGACAAAGGGAAAAGTTAAATCCCTTGAGATATCTGTGAACATCTTTAGAAACCTAAAATTGTGTATAAATTATCAGTTTAAAATAAACTAATTGAGCAATCTCTATATGGATACATTTTATGCGGTTACATGTACGTGTGGTAACTGGATGTAGACCTTTAAGATTACTACATTAAAGACAATATCTCCATAAAGACATTACTGTCACAATAAATTTATGCCACAAATGCTTAATTTTTGTTTCAATGTGTGATATGAATTCCAGTATGACCAGGCAACAAGATTATTTGGTGACGACCCAAAAAACAGTCAGCCTGAGGAATTCTTTGGTACAGTAGATGCTTTCTTGACATCCTTTGCTGAGGCCAGGCAAGAAAATGAGAAGTTTAGGAGGCAGAGGGAGGAAGAAGAAAGAAGGGCTAAAATTGATGCACAGGTGAGGACTTTCTCATTTTGTTGATCTGAACCGTATTTTATTCACTTACTTTCTGTGTCACATGACTGTATTTAACATCAGCAGGGTGTACTTTAATTTAATGTATGTGTATCATGTAAAATGTGGCTTTTAGAAGAATTCATCAGGTTGAAGAATAAAATCTGCCAATACTATGTTTTTGAATGTTGACCATGTAAAACCTGTGTACTATTGTGGGTAATTTTTTTAATGACAAGAATGGTGTTTCTTTGTGCAAATATACAACATTTCTTTGTGCAGTGATAAAGTAACATTTAAAAATGCCCATCGTTTATCCTTCAGGATGATAGATTTTATATCAGTTTCAATATGTATAATTATGTTTGTAGATGAGAGCTGAAAGAGAGAGACAAAAAGCAACCAGAAGACCCTCTGACAGAAGAAATGATGAAAAGGGAGAAGGTATGGTGACGAAACATGTTGTATTCTTACATAAAAACAAGTTTGTCAAATATAATGATGTGATAAAGACGACTTTTATGTGTGTAGTATGAGGAACCCAAAATAACAGTCAGACTTTTTATCTAACACAAATTGAATTCTTTTGCTTATTAGTAATGTGTGATCTTATCATTGTTCTGCAGCTAACAATGTGAGATTTTTTTTGTTGAATTTTGATATTAAGTATTTTTAATTTTTTAAAAAATTTTAATGACAATAAAAGTCACCAAAAAGTGTAAAAGGAACTTGTGTATAGAAGCCAACATGTATCTATTATTATTATTATTATTATTATTATTATTATTATTACACAACTTGCACAACTTGTGCTTGCACATGTATCTGTAAATTGTTAAATGTCCAGTGTGTGATCAGGTCATACCCTCTGTAAACTTTGTTTTAGTACCCGTACAGATTATATAAACGAAAAAACTCTATTTTAGGAGAATTTGATGACCTCATCTCAGCTCTCAGAACTGGGGACGTATTTGACAAAGACTTAGCAAAAATGAAGAGGAATCGCAGACGACCGAGTGCAGGCCGTGCAGACACAAGAGAGAGGGTAGGAACTCTGAAGTCAGTGGCTTAAAACTCCATTATTAAGACCGGGTGCTGGCACCAATATGACTTCGCTTCCAAACCATGACGCCATTTTTGTAAACCCTGGGATATGATAGAAATTGAGGACCAAGTTCCTGGAGATTTTTTTTTCCTGTCATAACTGGGAAATGACTGATTGCAATCAGCCACACATTACATACAGGTACAGTGAGGAAAAGGTTTCACTATCGCGGCCTAGGTTTGTTACCATGGTGCTGACATATTGTTATACCTCGAAAATGGGCCCTTGGACCTTTTTTCAAATTATGTGCACGCAGGCAAACTTACACAGAAACCTAGTGAACATATGGTACTTCCCACATCTAGACGAGTTTGTTAAAGATGTACAATATTTGCTGATGTTAATGGATGTGAAAATGCATTGTGGGTATTTGAGTATATTTTTAGATTTATCTAGAAAACACATGAAGAAGAAAATGCTGGGAGTCATCATTAAACTTTGGCGAAAATGCAATAAGGGGAATTGGTCATTGTAATCTTAGACATGTTCACTTGCAGCCTAATTTTACAGAAATTTACAGTGTTCTTGGCAGTGTTTCCAGTGCTTTGTACCAGAACTTTGCATTCCATGTCACAATGGCACAATGAAATCAAAATAAAAACAATAAAAATAAAGTTTTCAGAGATATAAGAGAACTCTTTAACTTGTCCTTGTGTGCTACATTGTACCTACTTCTGCAACATATTCCAAGACAAGTATAGACGGTTATTTTGGATTTCTTTGTTTTACCAAAAGTATCCCTCAAGATGAAGTACACAAAACAATATACAATGTACTGCTTTGTCTTATTTTTGTAAGATGAACCTATGACAAGTTTTGGGTCTAGGATGATGCATGTATTTATATGGTTTGTCATGTTATAATGTCCAGATTTGTGTTTAATGTTTACTTTTGTTTCATTTATTGTTGCTAAGGGATTTAAAAAGAGTCCTGCCTTAACTGGTGAATGTTACATTATTCTAGTGTTTGGCTGCTGAGACTATTGTTTATGCTTTTTTTACATGCCAATTTGTGAAATGATGTTTTTTTTTTCTTAGTACATTAATTGGAAATTTACTTATGTAAATGTTACTTACAGAGATAACTGTTTACTAATTTAATATAAAGGCAATTATCTTTAGATAAATTGTCAAACTGTAGTTTTGGGGGGAAGGTTTAACATAACATGGCAGACTTTTAGATAATACAAGGTTATTTATTTGATGTATGCAGGCAGGGGCTCTTAATTGTACTTTAAAATGGCAGAAATTTCAGAAATCTGTGTTTTTGGCTTATTTAAAATTGATCAATTTGTTATTCAGCCTTCATATCATTGTAGATAAATTTAATCCTTTATGTTAATGTTGTAAAATTTGTGATGTATTTATTATTTCAGTAAAAAAAATTATAATTATAATAACTCGATAAAACATTGTTGTTTTATTGATTTAAAATGTCATTCGTGAAATAATTTTCTTTTTTGGAAGATTATGTTTTTGTGGTCTTTTGAGTGTCTTTGAATCCCCAAAAGTTTGGAAGCAGTCTGTTTGTGTTACATGAACAGTATATTTTGAGCACATGTATAGCATACAGGCATTAAAACCTTGAAACAATACTTGACATACACAAAAATCCCTCAAGTTGATTCTTCAGATTGACTATTCAAAAATCATGCCAGTTGAGATATTAGAGTACCTAGTACTGAAGACTGCCACTACTAGCTGACATGCTTTGAAATGAAGACATAAATATAAATCAAACCATTCGCAAAATGAGCAGAATCTTTCAAATCACATAACTACAACAGGGGGTGTCCAAATCAGTTGTAATACATACAGTAATCTATACACAACAATTCAGCAAGGTATATATGATATACACTAGTGCAGAGCACATGCATAGGTATTGGTGATTATAAGTCAATGATTGAGTTCTCGTGGAATACCATGCCCACCCTTCCCCCTCTGCCTGGATCCCACAGTGGTACACATTTTGAAGAAACACCAATATCTCATGGTCAGCATCCTGGGATGCTTTGAATTTTGTTTACTGAGAAACTTGATATTATTGCAGAAACGTAGTTTGAAAGAAAACAAGCCAATCTTTCTTTTACCAAAAGAATGTATTTGTACACATTGTATGTTAATTGTAGAATTTTCAAATTTTGTCATTTATTCAATTGTGCAAAGGAAACGGATTCCGTGTACGAGTGCCTTCAGGTCACCTAGCTAGTATAGTTGAGAATAAGGTTTATTGTAATTGCTTTAAATCACAGCTAACACAATACCGTATGTCTCTTGATTCATGGTGAGGGCAGTCATCGGCAATGGAAGTTGATAAGATTGTGGAATACGTGTAAATGAAGTATCTCTCTTTTTTTGACGTAGTAAAGAATGAGAGCACAGCCAGAAGTAAATTCCACTGCACATCTTACACTCTCCCTGGCTTCAAGCAATGAACACGTAGTCGCTCCTTGGCACCGAGGAGGCCTACTGATAATTCAATTTTACTTGCTGTCCTAGCATTTTTCAGAGGCCTCCGTTGCCAAAGTCACCAAGCATCGTTGCTGTCTTTATAATTAGGGGTGTCAGGATGTGTTTTTTTCATCAGAACTTGTAACGACAAAGATCAAACCTGCCTCTTGTATCATTGCACGTGTTATTTGTAAATGTTCTTATTGTCGGCATTTTTATTTACAAAATAATAATAATAAATAAATAAATAAATAAAGGCGATTGTAGGATATGTGTTTAAGATCCATTCGTAAGTTCTTATTGTTGGTGCTTTTCTCCCTAATGATGTAAAAAAATCGTTCGGAAAATCGTATACAATGTCATTGAACGGTGCCCGTGGCAAATGTAATCTAGACTTCAGGTAGACTTGCAAGAGCTTTTACAGTTTCCATAGCATTCGCATTATGGTTTTAAGGGGTCTAGGATATTAAAAATACGTCTAAAACTCGATTTTTAGTTTTTTATACGTTAGAAATAATCAATTTTGTATCTAATACTCAATTAAGTTATATTTGTGAAACACGGACTAAAAATATACATTTGGACGAGTTTTTCTACCTGTCCTGACTGGTACGGGTGGCAGGCTTTAGGCTCCGCCTCCGTTGTCAAGCACCGTTACTATGGGGGGCGGGGCAAGAATGGTTGTCTAACTTCTTAAGCTGTTACGCGTGCCCTGGCAGCTCATAAGTCTTACGTCAGCTAAGCAGAACACAGTTATATACACAGTCATGGGAAGAAAGAAAGTCGTGAGAAAACGGATGAGCGAGGAAAGCAAGAGAATTTTGAAAGAGAGTGCTTCTGGTGGATGGAGAAACNTGAGCAAAATGGTTTAGGAGCGATTTCTCAGCTTTGAAGATTGATAACATAGTCTAAACTTCAATCCCCATATCTCATTCTGTAACTGTCAGATTGACATGAAATTTGATGTGTCTCTGTTTCAGTATAATATCTAGTCGTCTGAGTCTTGGTTTTTGGATTGACCTTTTATTTTTGAAGTTATTAATACTGAAATTGGAAGGTCCATATATATTTCGTAAAATTCACGTTTTATCAAAATAAAATCAAAAGTAAAAATAAAAAGAGAAAATCCTGACAGAGTTTAATGGAGTTTGTGCTAACCTTTAGATAGCTATTTCAATCGTATTAATAGGGCTTTTTGTTTAAGAGAAATTCTTGATTAAAAAAAAGACAATTTTAGCCTCAAAACGCTGATATTACGTCACTCGTGTTACACTGTGACTACAAACTTTGAAAAATTGTTTGGCTTGCTAGACCTTTTCTTTAAGTTAATAGGAAATTTCATTAGCTGCATTAGTTTTGGACTTTTTCGTTAATATCCAAGATCCCTTAAAAATGTTCAACGACACCTGTAGAGGTGTAGAGCCCTGGTTCTTGAAGTAGGGGAAAATGTACCGCTCCTATTCTATTAAGCTTCCCTAATACAATATTAAGAATTGCCATGCTGCGCAACAATGTCAAGATCTCTTGTTGGGTCGCTCTTGGTAATAGGTATATTGCATTTATTATAAGCGTCACGTTGAAATCACTTGTGTAGAGAAAGCTAGAACAGAAAGATAAAGCACAGGTACACGGAAAGAAAGACAACATGCATGCACTGTCCTAATTAAATTACAGGTGGTGACAACCCGATACCCATTCATGGTGAAAGTGAAATATTTGGGTAATATGTAATATCATTACCTATTGTTGTTGTATGTTGGTAAATTTTACATTCCAATCATAACACTATCATACCTAATGACCTGCTGATGAATCGTTTACCTGAATTGCAATTTTCTGCTCAATGATTTCATCACACTGCTTGTGTTAAGTACGGCACAGGTGGACACCTGGCACTGGTTACACGAAAGAATTTTAGCCCGAAAATTGGACTGAACTGTTTCGGTCTACATTGACTCAAGATAAATCTACCCTCTACCAGGGCGAGTGATAGATTTTTTACAGATATTCACAGATATGTCTCTAGCTAGATAGATAGTCATTTACAGCTGAACTCAGCTGGGTTTAGCTGAAAATAACCATCTATCTAGCTAGAGACATATCTGTGAATATCTGTAAAAAATCTATCACTCACCCTGGTAGAGGGTAAGATAAATCTATGGTAGTCCAATGGATGAAATATGACACCGGTTTTATAACAAGAAAATAAAGATGTAGCGATAATGTAAAAAAGCTATAATGATAATAAGGTTTATTTGCAACTAACAGTAGTTGGATTGTACAACTATGCACGGTATATATAAATACAGTGTGGTATAGTGCGGTATGTATAGAACGGTTTGACGCCTGTTGATTATATACTGGGACGATACTGTAGGCCTACTTACTTTGCTCTTAGACATAATAACGTTCGTTATTATATCCAAGCTTTACTCAAGTTAACTATAATGAATAATTCTTGAACTGAAGTCGACCGAATTTCGGCAAAAAAGTTAATTTGTGAAACTGGACCCTCAAGATGGGTATGCCAACTGTGAACAGACGTGAACGGGACGCCATAAGCGCACCTCTTGTTGTCAGCCGAGCGGATTATAAAACCATTACATCCAGCGTGTCTAACGAGCAGACCTTAGGAGGGTTCAATGGTTTTGTAGAATAAATATTTTCCTACAAATTATCAACCCTTAGAAAATATGTAGGATATGTTACTTTTGAAACATTTTTGTCGGCATTTATGCCCACGGCATATACATATGTATTTTTATACGGTACGGTGCACACGTTTTATCTTGTAGTTCAAGAGTAGGCCCTATTCTCCTAAATACATACACACGCCGAGTGTCTATTTTTAAGTGTGTTCATCGAGAGATTGCTAACACTGACTACAGCATTTCCCCAAGGATAGAATGACATCTGGAAATAAAGGCAATCGATGGCTAAAGAAGACTACTGAACTCACACAGGCTTATAGGAG